AACGGTTGTCGGGGAAACAGATGTATTCTGGCTTTTATTGCATTTTAACAGCCGTCACCGAGAGACATTGTCTTTCATAAATAATTTAACACGTACACGTTTATGAACTAATTCAATAGTTTCTACACTTTCTACGGTGAACACGATAAATTGCTCAAAGTTGCAAGCGGGCGATCGATTATTAATTTGATCAGAACAGTCGCATAAATGTATGTGTGGCATAATATCAGGAATTCGTTGTTTATGCTCGAAATAATACGTGTGAGATAAAAGGAAATTTTACCGAGAAACATTTTCTGTTTAATTAACAATTATAAATAATTTATGTATTCTGTATACGATAATTTCCTTCTCTTTTGCGCGATATACGGATTTGCACTGCGATTCATATATTTTATTTCAGCAAATCTCAATTTTCGGAAAGTTACTTTGTATGTATTTCGACAATTGATATTTATGTATGCACAACGTTTGTAGCCGTACATTTTTAAAACATAATTTTTTTCATAATGGGCTAAAACTGGCCTTACTATACTATACTCACATTTTATAACATTTTATAAAAGCTGAGATTTTGTAAAATTTATTATTTTAACTTTAGAGTTCATTTTCTTTCCGTTGTTATAAAATGTAGGTTAGCCCATTATTGCAGCAACCCTTTCAATTTCTAGATTATTTCCGCCTATTAAAAATATGTAACTCAATTATCAGAATTGTTGACACAATGTTTATAGGCATCGGCCGCATTGGTATAGCTTATAAAAAACAATGTTGAGAACGCGTTTTAATCTGTATAAATTAATTTTCAAAATTTACAGAGATTAAATTTATCATTACGCCTCGTTAAAGTTTAAGAAATGATATCGCACATAAATAGGAAGACGACAGATTCAAAGCACGTTCGCCAGTATAATCCTCGTAATGGTTCACGTGACAAATAAGAAGTGCTTCGGGCTCGGGGATTAACCCATATCACTCTTACAGTCCCCGAAGTACAATCCGGCAGAGACGATCGTGGAGTTTCCGGTGATCCTTTACGTGATCTGTTGTACGAATCCTTTGTGATAAATTGTTGGTGAAAACTACGTAAAATAAAAATCAGAGAGTTCTAGTCTTCAATAAAAAAAAATGTCTCTCCAGAAATATTATACATGTATAGGATAGACATTTCTGCATTATTTCTAATAATGTTTCGGATTTTCTGTATAATAGACATCCCGGCGTGTTAAATATTTATAATTACTTATATACAAGCAAAACGTGATAAACATGCTCTTGATGTTAACTTGAGATGTCTCATTGCGAAACTCGCGTTAAAAAAAGTTTCTGTGTCCTTTTCTAATAAACGAAGGGCATTAGAGACTCGCGCATTTAATCAGGACGACTGGATTTCATTTGAGAAATTGACGGTACGGCACGTAAACCCTCAGATGTAAATTGTCGCCGTACGTTTACATCACTGCGTGCTACTTGCAAAACAAAACGTTTGCCCGCATTACTTTTTAGAATAATTTGAATATCGATTCGAGATGTATCACCCGCTTTCGTATAATGTCAGTTGTTTCTTGCGATATCCGCACAACAGACGCTCACATCTCCACGGTCTAATGAGAAAAAATCGTCCAGCGTTACGGAAATTTCCGTCGTGCATTGCACAACTAATGAAATAAAAACACTTCTTCCCTCCCATGTGGACGATATCAGCGGGACAAGATTCACCTGACAATACCCTCGTTAGTCGTGCCATTTATTATTAAAATGGACGGAGTATTTCGAGATGGGAAGGATGCAACTTACGTAAATCTCTTTAAGCTGGATCAGTTCAAGTCCTATAGACTTGGGAACGCACAACTTCATTATAATGATGAAGTCCTAACTATACTACCGTACATTCTCTTTTATGGCCTTGTAGTTTCGTAGTTCTATCCGTGCCATTCAATTCCACGTGTATGTAAGATGTATTCTCCGTTATACATAAAAGAGACACGTACGTCATAAAGATACGTACTACTAGCAATATTATTAAACAATTGAGCATGGGAAATATATTTCACACAAAAATCATCAGCCTCCAGAGAAATGTGATTTTTTGATTCGTAAATCTTTTTTTGACATATAAAAGTTTTACTTTTAAATGACTAATATTATTTACATACTGATAGTATTATTGTGTATGATCATATTTGTATACTTTTAACGTTAAATCGCTTATCTGTATTATTCTTATCATTTTTACTATTATTTTAAAGTTCCAGATAAGCAGCATTATTACTATTTTATCTTTTGAAAGCAACTTTCTATATATTTCCACGTATAATAATTAATTTCACTTGCAATATTATTTTTATTATTATTAATATTGTTATCACATACGTTATGCATGGTATAAAAATTACATGAATATAATTTTTATAATATGCGTCACACAAAGTCATAAGAATTCAAATTCATAACAACACATTATGCTGCGTATTAAAAATTTGTATTTGCATTTATATTACGGTAGATAGTCAAAGTTTATAGAATTTGTAACTCTCGAGTCCATCGTATAACACAAAGCGTGAGAGAATACTTCGCGCACGTTTTATCGTCGCTAACGTGCGCCACTTTGCCGGACGGAGGAAGTTATTGAATGGCTTTTGTACAGGAAAAAGGAGATTGCGGATGTCCGAGAACAACCCTTGTAATTGCTCTCCTTTCGATCCGAAGTATTCCCGGATGGTAAATTCTGGCGAGTCCCACAGATCGAAAAATGCCATTGTGAAGATTGGATCGTAAAAATAGTCTGCACACTTTGGCGAGGCGTTACTATTACTTCCGAGAGTTTCCTTTTCTTTCTCTCTCGATTATGGCCATCGGCAATTTTTTTGATATTTGCTGGACACGACCGTTTGGAAAGAATAACGAATTTTGAAAACATTGCTGCTGGAACATGAATTTTTATGACCCGTGTCGTTCGTTTTTTTAATTTTTGCTTTCAATTTTAAGTTAACACGTCGATCTGCTTTAGTAAAAATAATAATGATTTTCATTGTCTCCAGTTGTGATAGATGTATACATTTTATACTTTTATCGTATTTTTCAAATTTTGACACATTGTTTTAATGCATTACATTACTTTATTTAAAAAAGAAAAAAGATTAGAAGTCACGAGTCTAATGAGAACATCGTTGAAATATTGGAGTATCAGGCTGGGGTTCGTCGAAGGTTCGATCGGAGCTTTAGGCAAACGCGCGTTATTGACAATTGTGAAAAAGCCAGTTCGCGAACGGATTCAATAATATCGCTGACACTTCCAGTCTGTCGCATAGCAGTTATCACGACGGTCCTATCCTATTGATCGCTTTTGTTCTTCACCAAGATACGATACGCGGACTTGCGCTCGTGTACTACGCGGATATCGGTTATCTCAATGGGAAATTACGTTACGGCTATCGATCCGCGGTAAACACCGATGGGAGTCGTTTTGCGTGTTTATCCGTGGCGAATCGCCGATCCGTTCTGAGCGAGATTGAAAAATGTCGCTTTCTCTACAAAGGAAAAAAACAAAAGGACGCCTACGAGCGGCGTTCCCAGCTGCGTCTCTCTTTCCGATATTAAAAACCCCGCACACGTTTGTGGATAGATGAAGAATGGGGATTCGAAAAACAGCCGAGATTTCATGATAAAAAAGAATGATCTACGGATATTTTATACAAATCTCTCGAGATATATTATATAGCTCGGAATAATTACGCCAATATTTTACGATTGGAAAATCACTGCATACATGTAATATATAAAGTCACAAAATAATATTTATTAAGATAATTATTTATATATATGTATATATATATATATATATAGGCAGCTTAAACCGCCATTCCGCCGTGCTACGGCTATTCAATGAACTTTGTAGCGGCACAAAAGCTTAATGATGTAAAGCGGAGGCGGAATCGCCTAAAGCGTTGTTTCGTGCGCAACAAAAATGGCTTATACCTGGCGGGAAATGGATTTACTGTGTTACAGTTATTACGCCGCGGGGTGTGTATCTCGTACCAGGATTACGAGCGTACTTGAACGAATTCTTTGATGCCAGCTTTGTATCATCTCGAAATTAAACGTTTCTACAAAGAAATCTTGCTCGAATAGGAATCGGTCGTTATTTAAGCTACTCGCGGACTCATTGACTTTATATTCTCCTTGTTTTTTTAAGATTGCGAGTTTAATTTGTATGTTTTTGCGTCGCACGACTGAAAGAGCACGACTAGATAATGAGATTTGTATGTACAAACAATTCTTTAAACGTTATTAAAAAAAAACAGACAAGTGTTGTATACAAAGAATTTTGAATCACAGACGAGTTCTACAACGCGTCGTTAAAATCACCTGCAATTCTGTCGATCGATAGCCAACAGAACATATGTCATTAAGCCTTATCAACAGCAAGTGTCTAGTCGCTTGTACTAATCGGATATGTTAATCCCGTGTGATGGTCATGATGGGTTTCCTTATAGCAATCGAAAATTTTAATTATTGCCAGCACGTGCCAATGTCATTTTATTGCAATGTGAATTTGTCGAAATATTGGTAGTATTTGACACGATCCCGTAAATTGGTATATTTATGAAATAATGATTATACATATATTTTTTTATACTAAACTTGTGTGCAAATAAGAGATATGAGGGAGTATATCAGTTTTCTCACTTCATATTTCCAATTCTTTTCACTAGATCTAATAAAACTAGAGGAATAGCAGAAAATGTTTGATCACCTCGATATATTTTTGTTAATTTTCTCTTTTCCTTATCCTTTTTTCAATTGTTAATACGTTTTTGAAGAAAATATTAATAAATAAAATGAGAAAGTTTACAACATATTATTTGGCGTAAGAATTAAAATAAAAAATTTTATTGATGTAATCTTCTATACAGTTAAAATATAAAATTTTTTATTTTTTATAAACAAATTCTCTCTCTCTCTCACTCTGAAAAGAAAATATAAATTTTTGTTGCTAGAAATCCCATGGCACAAATGATGAAAGGGCGTCATCAGTTTCGTCGTCGCTTCAGCCTACAACCTTCGGCGCACTTGAAAGAAGGACAAGAGGACGGAACGACGCCGAAGAATGTCAGGTAATGCGAGAGAGTTTCCTCTTGAGACTTCTGTCTCTCACAAATTTACTAGTCTGTAATTAACCATCGCTATGGTTAAGCAATCCTAAACTCGTTAACTTCTCTTGACTTTTCTTAATCTTCAAAGATAAAAGCATATACACAAAATCTTTCTGTCTCTAATTGTTATGAATCTATTTAACGGAGAAACTATCCTGTTCATGATAATAAGAATTAGCGGAGCAACGCAAGTGAACGTATCGTGATTCTACTTTAAGAAGAAAAGTTTTATATTATTATACTTGAAAGGATCGATATTAATCTTTTCATCTTTTCTTTTGAAAGGAGCGTCATCTTCTTTGAAAGAAGCGTTCTTTGAAGCAGCATGCAAATACATGCACATGTGAGGTGCATGTATTTGGTTCGATTTTCGATATTGTATCTCCTCGGCGCAAACGTGAGGTCTACATACGTTATGTTATATGAGACGTTCGAAGTCATAAATCGCGGACCGGAAAAATTGCTTTCAGCAATTGAAACCCACCCGAATCCGTAGCCGTGTCTTCCTTTCTTTTTGTTCTCTCTATCCCATCCGCCATTCGTGACTAGCTCTCAGGTTTTAGTACGAGCTTTAATTTCGCGGTGAATACGCGGTGAAAAGGGAAGCTCCGGCTTTTCCGCTTTTGTGTCCGCTCGTCATAATAACCTGCACGTCTGACTCCTTGTAATGGGTGTGGATGATTACGAAGACGTAGATACTTAAAGGCATCCGGTGCTATTTGGTGCATGTAAAAGTCGACCGTATGGTCCCGGTGGGCCACATATAAGAGATACGCCAACGTCGATAGTGTCACGAATTCAGGACACTCTATACAAAACATGTGGTATTCAATAACATGCGCCGCTGAATTGCGAGGATCCTTGATGTTCATTAGCGTAGCATTCTCCTCCTCGGATGCCTGCCTCTCTTAAACGGAACATGGTATCTCTTCACTTCCGCCACAATCTCTTCCTTGATGTACCGCGGAAGAGATTGTGTCTTCCCCGTTTCCCGTTAATAACAATCCTTCTTTCACAACAATTCCTCTCATATTTCATAGTATCATAATACAGAAATGTATATCTATTTAAGAAGGCACATTTAGATAACACACTTTAACAAAAAAATTACTTTTTTTTTCTTCGCAGTGTCATAGCCTCGACGATTTTTTTGCGTTGAACGATGCGTCAAAATTTGCGTAGCACGTCAAGATTTTGAGTAAATGGAGTGAAATGAGTTAAAAATGGCGTTTTTAATATTTTTTTATGGCAAAAGAAAAACTTGTTTTTTAAATAAAATTAAATTAACGACATCTAAAAGTATAATATATAACAAGAAATATTGACAAAATGTGTATTAATTATTCTAACAGCTCTTTGCTAAGCCGAATTCTCTGAAATATCGAAAACATAAATTAATGAAAACGATATATTTTTTCAGAAATGAAAGACTGACGGAGTCCGACAGTGGTGGTGGAAAATCGTCTGAGAGTTCTATTCGACACAAAATAGTGGTGATGGGCGCAGCGAAAGTCGGCAAATCATCCATTATTCATCAGTTCCTCTATAGCACCTTCACCCCAAAATACAAGCGGACCGTCGAGGAGATGCACCACGGAGATTTCAATGTTTCCGGGATCCAACTGACGCTGGACATTCTCGATACGTCCGGCTCATACGAGTTCCCAGCAATGAGAGATCTCTCCATCAAATCAGCAGACGCCTTCGTTTTAGTTTACGATGTGAACGACTCTAGTACGTTTCACGAAGTAAAAACCCTCCGAGCTCAGATACTCAGCACGAAAGGAGCAATTCCAATTGTGGTCGTCGGCAATAAAATTGATCTCGTAGATCGGGAACAAGAGGTGAGTTTCAATAGAATAAAATTACCATCGATTTTGACTTTCTTCCAAATTTTCAAGATTCCGACGGAACGGAGATTTGAAGGATCCTACAATTTTTTATTCACATTCTTAGTACCTAGCATATATACTGCCCCATGACGCTGCACTACTCTCTTATTAATTATTTAAATCTCCTGTCAATACCTAATCGGTCTTACAGCCTTGTATTTTTACATACTCTGAAAATTCTTAAAGAAAACCTTTTCATAATCCTGAGAAGAAATGAGATATATCGAATCTTTATTATGGAAATTTATGTTACTATGGCGATGTATGTTCTTGATATTTAAATCTTGATTAAAATTCGATAAGCGTTAGATGCTTGTCGAACCTCTAATCATGGACTCGAGATTAAGAGATTGAAAGGGATAAGAGATTAAATAGGAATCTTTCCAAATTGAATAATATAACAATAAAAATAATATAATAATAAGAATTCGCATGTAGAATGAATTCAAAGACTCAAATGTTAGAAAACATAAAATTTAATCTTTACCTATGGTATTTAGGTACAAATGTCGAAATGTTAAAAATCATATATCAAATAAAAATTGCGGCAATATTAAGAAGAAATTGAAACCGTGCACAAAAATATAAATAAAACTGATTAGCCGCGCTTTATATCTGCGTGTAACATTTAACATTACAACGGCGAAAAATGGATTGTAGGTGGAGACCGAAAGCACGAGAGAGCTGGTAACTACAAAATGGGAAAACGGATTTGTGGAAGTGTCCGCAAAGGAAAACCTGAATATCTCTCAGGTATTTAAGGAACTTCTTATCCAAGCCAAGTTAAAGTACAATTTGAGCCCGGCATTACAACGTCGCCGTCGGCAATCTTTGCCGCCTTCGCAGCAACATCCGAACTCACGCAGCAGTAGTAGTACCCATGTGCCGTCCCCAGCTCAGCTTCAACATCTGCAACAAATTCGCGAGCGCTCCGATTCCAAAAGGAATTCCTGTATCCTGTCGTAAGAAGGGATCGAGAACTCCTTGGTATTACCGCGAAAAATCTTACTTGATGATTCCATCGAGTCGATACCGAATCAATTGATGTGTCCAGTCCCGCAAAGTTATCCAATTGTTACATACGGCGGATGATGAATTGACCTGAATTTACTTACGAACTATGGATATGATATAGACTTTGCAGGTTGTCGATTACGCGGAATTTGGATAGTTCACGCAAATCCGTGAAAAATGTCTCGACAATTCGGTATTCGTCCATAAAGTATGAATTACAAAACATTTAAGCGAGACTACGAGAATACGTGTATTCAGAAAAATATTCAGGAAAACTTTACTCTCTCCTTCTCTCTTTGGTGTCATTTCATTTATGGACCTTCTGTACAAGCAATTAAACTTTAATGAAGAACGCAAAATGTGTGTTGTATATTATATAAAAATATAGATATTGGTAAATCAAATAAAATGATAGATATTGCTGAACCAACAATTGCACAAGAATCATTAAAATGCCAAATCTTCTAATATCATATCTATAATTTCATATCTTCTAATTAAAAAAATTTTTAATAATCGATATTTAAGATTTTGGGAATCTTCGATTCGTAATTTTTCATTTTTTTTTATTTATAGAGATACGTGTCGTATTTTTGTTTGACATATGTGAAAATGCTATCTTGTTTCACACAGAAAAAGTTTAGAAAAATAATATTTGAAACATTTAAATATAAATATTATATGAAGTGCAATTAGTATATCAATTTTTTTCATTTAATTTGCATAATTATTTCCGCCAATTTAAATATTCAATACACATAATTATGTACATACATTTGAAAAATCGTATTTCTTGATGATTTTATTCGATTTACAATGTCCTTCATTAGAGATATCTTTTAAGATGATGTGAAAAAAAACTTTATTCAAACGGAATCGATGCCTGGGCCTTAAAGGGTTAATGGAGATAATATACGTATATATAAGTAATCGACAAGATAAGCCGATAACAGCAATGTAAGTAACAGAAGAAGTACTACAAGTCTGTCTAAATTTCGTAATAGCTCTTTTGATCTTGTGATATCTATTTGCATAGTGACATCTAGTTCAAAGTGTCAATTTTTCTTATCATGCAAACAAATCGCCATTTGGTTCATCAAAGTATTAGAATATTTTACAAATAGTAGATATATATATATATACTTAGATTGTAGTAAATCTTGTATTTTAAGTAATTTCTTTCTATTTGCCGCGAAACAGAAATTGTTAATACTTATAATATTGATCAAAAGGATCGGTTAGAAAGATTTAATATGCAGGCAAAATTAAAAATTATCTTCGTATTAATACAAAGACTAAAAAAATTGTGAAACTTGTCAGAAGAAGGTGCTAACTTCCAGTATGTAGAAATCTAAGAATATGTGAGAGTTGTTTTGTTACTGTGGTATTTGCATTAAGGATATATTGACAAAACTGTATAATAATATGGCGTCATCAAACACGATCTTTCTTCCACATTGTCTTTTGACTACGATCGGAACAATGATCTAATCAAAATGAACCAACAGTTACTCGTCTACCGGGTTTATATAATAGATAATAATAATTCCGAATTATATATATAATTACATAGTTTTATTATTAATGATATATTCTAATGTCGCATTTCAGGGTCTTACTTCACACTGCCCGGTCTTTTATTATCATGAATTACGTATATATATCCGCATATAAAATTCAAGGAAATATATATTATATTATATGAGATCCTATCAACTAGTTATACGTATCTAATAAGAATTGGTTTTCATCTCCTTATAATATGTATAAATATATTTTGTTTAATTTATTACAAATGTATACATATATTGTCTATGCCGAGTATCATTTACTTACAATATCACAAGAACGATAACAAGGAAGAGGGAATGAGAGAAAATGTCGCAGTATTACGCACGATTAAATAGATATATAAATCTTGGCGTATTTATACAATGTGATGTGAATCAAGTTCTTCTATTAGCGATTGTAAGAACAAAATATTCTATCTATAGTAAGACATTAAGTGTTTCGAATATTTTTAGAATCAGTGTGTGCTGAATACAAGTACGAAACAACTGCAAAAATCTGTACCTCAAATTCATGTATCGAATGAAAATTTGTATTATATTTCATGTCAGTAATGATTATAGTAGCAAGATATTTTTTTCCTGAGCTCCTATTAGTCCACTAGGAAAGAAAGTTTACTGTACATACTGTCCATATTATGTAACTTATTTTCAAACTTAGAACGTTATAAGATAAGTATTTCTTTTTAAGTGTAAACTCAACAAATATGGAAATATATATACACCTTATAAATTAAACATGTTGATTGTCTTAAATTGGATATATGGAAATTATTAGTAAATATGCTAGACAATTGGTAAAACTAATACTTGTACAGTATATATTTTTATGTATTTCATGAAACGTCATAAAAGTCGTACAGAATTGTGCTTGCTACTATATATTTAAATATATTTGGTACAAATCTTTATACTGACAGATTTGTCTCATAGTTATCTTTTTGATGCACAGATGGAATACATCAAAGTTCTAACATTGTCATGGCGAATTTTCATTAACAGATTTTTATAATGTCTTTATTATATTAACAGAGAGAAGATTTCATTCTGCAGCTTCTTTGTCGGAAATTATAATAAATATAGTTCATAACAAGAAAATTAAATTTGCAGTGTGTAATTTCTTAACAGAAAAGAAAAATTCTTTATTATTATTATCTAAAATTATAATTTTTTATATTATAATTTAATATTATTACATGTTTTTATTATTATTAGAATGGGATAATAAAAAAAATCACTCACACACACACACACACACACACTCTCTCTCTCTCTCTCTCTCTCTCATATATGTTTATATAGATACAGCAAGGCTATATTGCTATATTACCTCTTACATCTTTCATTAAAAGTATTAAATATCTATGTAAATAATAAAATATTATGAAGCCTTGCTACTTTTTTTTAAACATATTGAGTTTAATTTTACATGATATATTATGCACTATTAAAACATTTTAGTATAATACTTTTTTAGTATATAAATTACAAATGTGTGTACATTACTCGATGTTTATTAGTATTAAAAACAATATAGTTTATTTCAATTAATCTGTGGTTAGAATTAGGTCGGAAGTTGTAATTAGAAGTAACTATAGTTTCAAAAAACTGTAAATATACGTTTGATTTCACTTTGGCATAGATTTCTCTACATAGTATGGAAAAGTTTATCGTTAGACGTTAACATTATAATATATTGCCTACACAGCACGCATTTACCAGCTGTCTTATCTTCCGATTTTGAACATGTGTGCTGTCTGGATGGTAATCAAATATAAAACATGATGTTAACGTAAAACTGGTTAAGAATATTCTTATAAATATAATCTGCGCAATTCTCTCCAATGACGGCGTATAGAAAAAAAAGAACATAAATTAGGAAAATGCGTCGATATAATGTATGAATAAACTGCAATTAAAGCTGATTTATTTTATAACTACAACATAATTGCAATCTTTTATCTCTCCATCTTAAGAACCGCAACAAATATTAATTGCTAATATTTGATTTCGTATCATTGGATTATTGCAAATTAATAAATAAAATGTGCAGTATTATTTTAAACAATATTCCATTCTATTAACAAAAAACTTATATTTTGTTGAGAGCAAATAAAGTAACACAAATTGTGTCTGCAATAGAAATGTCTATGTTAAAATAATTTTTTAAAAGCGCTCTAACAGTGCTTTAATTTACTCAAAATAAGTAATTAATCACTTACAACATTAACATTTTTTAAGGGAAATACAACTGTAAGAAAAAAGAAGCTCTTCAACATTTAAAAATAATCATAAAACTTTTAGAAAACCAACGAAAAAATGTTAAGTATATGTATAATTGATGTCTGCTCATTTTAACTGCATGTTCTATTGTTGCAAATTATTGTTTGCATTATAATAATAATTATTATTATAATTATTATTATTATTGCTATGATTTTTGTTTTAATATTAACATCGCAGTGTTATTGAAACTTTGCAATTACTTTTTTTATATGTATTCTTATGGATATGCGCGCTGTGCACGCCAGTATAGATTAAATATCAATACAAACAATGATAAATTAAGTTATTTTGGATATTTCTTGATGAAAGCTTAAAAGTATATAATCTTTTTAAATCCAATTTTAGAAAAAGCATTTCTTTTAATTTATTATATTTTATTATATTATATTACTTAAACTTAGAATTTTCTTATAAGAACAATATATTTTTAATTTATAAAAATTTAAAATTTAATAAAAACGCGATCTCGAAGTGAAACACGAAAAACGTTTTTGGCGTAGGCAAACACGAAAAACGTTTTTCGTGTTTTACTTTGAGATCGCGTTTTTATTAAATTTTAAATTCTTATAAATTGAAAATACATTGTTCTTATAAGAAAATTCTAAGTTTAAGTATGAACATACAATAAAATATGTAAGAATATTTTGTATGTGAGCATATGTATGAGAAGATGTGTATTTTCATAACAGGGAGATTAAGTATCTTATATTTATTATTTTAATTATATCAAAGAGTAGAGTACTTAAAAGTTTTACCTTTTCTATCTTCCTAATCTTCATTCAATCACGGCGGCTTTCTATGCAATAATTAATACTAATGATACAAAGTATCGTCTTAATATGCAAAGTAACATATCGTTAGAACGAACAAAAGAAAAGATTTGTTATAATATAATGAATCGTAATAAAGTTTACTGATTAAATATTCTTACACGGTTGCGTGTTATTCAGGTGTCGGCCGTATTTAAAATAATATTATTTAAAATATGTATTTTAAATTTAAAAAAAGTAAAAAAGTTATTTAGTATTTATTATTTTAAATAACTTCTAATCTATTTCTTATTTAATATTTTAAATACGTTTTTGGAATATATTTTATATTTCTTACATTTTAAATAAGTCATATAAATTTTTTACTGGCCCCTGCGATACTTTATTTTAAATAAGTTTCTGGAATTTATTTTATATTTGTTATTTTAAATAGGTTGTGTCAGTTATTTCCCGAATCCCCTAGACTGTTATCTATTTAGATTAGCACACCGAACGAGAGCAATCGGCTATTTAAAACGGTAATTTAAGCGATCAAATTATTTTACAGTTCACTTAATTACGGAACTGTTTTGTCCATTTCGCGTAATAAATTATCTGTTAGACTACCGTAATGTGTATCAGAAGTTTGTAATAATTAACAGCAAGCAATTACATTTATCCTAGCCATGCAACAGAGAAAAGAGGAACCCATTAATTTTTTTCTCGTTCAAAATTAAATTCTACATATAATAAGTCATGTCTGAGTCTCTGTTTCTACGGTATTGTCGTTACTCCTTATTTCGGGAGAGCACACAGAACAATATCGATATGCTTAATATCGGTGTAATTATTTTTCAAAATTTCATACAATTGAATTAACATCGCGGCGAGCGACGAGGCGCGCGGCGCGCACATGCGCGTGGAGAGGCCGGGCTCGGCGGCTCGACGGCCGCGGCAGAGAGAAGCGTGAGAGCGGCCAGTCACACCGGCATTTTGAGTGGGATCAGCAATCTTCCCCGTACCCTAGAGCACCACGTCCACGTTTTCAAAAAAGAAACTACGTACCACATCTACCTTATAACATTGTCGATCAAATCATAGCACGAGAACGTGGACGTGGTTCGTGTCCGTGCTACATCCATTCTTCGAAGATGCGCTATATTTGATACTGAAATACTAGCAGCCTCTTCAGCACAATTCGATGGGACGTGCATAGAAATTAACTTCTGTTTAGTAACTAATTAATCGCACCCATCCCGATTTTTTCACCGCTGCCGTTTCGAAAAAACTCACGGTATGCGATAGCTTTGATATTAAAATTTTCGCAGCCTCTTCAGCACAATCTGATGGGACGTGCATAGAAATTAACTTCTGTTTAGTAATTACTAATTAATCGCGCCTATCCCGATTTTTTCACCGCAGCTAAAGACTGTTGAATTTTTCGCACCCATTTAAACGACCAAATTCCGGATATCGTCCAGGTTGTAATTAATTAATCATAAAATTGATAAATATCTCGCGCCTAACTAAACGATCGCGTTTCTGGGCTCGCGATCATCTTTAATTGTTAATTATAAATAAAACTGTTGAATTTTTCGCGCCCATTTAAACGACCAAATTCCGGATATCCTGAACGTTGTAATATAATTAATCATAAAATTGAGAAATATCTCACGTTTCGGAGCTGATCGCTAGCGTCTTTGTTAATTATAAATAAGATTGTTGAATTTCTCGCATCCATCTAAACGACCATTTTCCAGATATCGCGAACGTTGTAATTAATCATAAAATTGATAAATATCTCGCGCCAATTTAAACAATCGCGTTTCGGAGCTCGCGATCGTCTTTGATGTTAATTATAAATAAGACTGTTGAATTTCTCGCGTTGTTTTATCAAAAGAACTATTTATTAAGTAAGAACAGTGGCGACTTAAATAAGTTTCAGTTTGACACTATAGATTTAACCAAAATGCAAGTGCAAAATTTAAATTAAATCTTATTTATTATTCTATTTATATATAGATATTCTATTTATCATAGAGTATTTAAAATTTTTACCTATTTTACTTTGCTAATTTTTAATCAATCACAGCGGTTTTCTATGCAATATAATTAATACTAATCGTGGCGACGCTGCCGCTCCGCAGTAGTGCACACGGTATGCACGCGCCATTAATACGGCGGGCGCCATTAATACGGCGGGCGCCATTAATACGGCGGGCGCCATTAATACGGCGGGCGCTATTAATTCGGCGGGCGCTATTAATTCGGCGGCTGCCCGTCGTATAGCGCGCTTTCTCGAAAACACATTCGATTTCATTAAGAAAGCACTATATAATATATATGTATAATATATATGTATAAGACATTTAATTTTTCAATTTTTATTATGTATAAGTATATATAAAATTGCGATCTTTTATCTTAAGAATGTACTGATAATTACATACTTAATTAAAAATGTTTTGAAATAATTTTGACTCACACTTTATTACAATCATTTTTCTTCGAGTTATTCTGCCGTCGCTAAATCGTGTGCGATTATCGTTGAAAATTTTATATTAAGTATCGCCATTTTCAGGAGTACCTTTTGTGTAAAAACACTACTGAAATGTAATAGTGCCACTGCTATAACATTTTAGTAGTGTTTCTACTGCCACTAAGTATTTATTTTATTTATTCTATTTATTTTTACGCGTGATATGAATGAAACGAAAGTATCTAAAAGAACGACGACGCGTGACGGAGTAATTATCATTGCAGGTAATTTTTACTTTTCATGGTATAATTCTTTTCGGAAGTAATTTTTTAAATGTAATCATCATTGCATTATCATAAGATTTATAGGATTATTAATCTTTAAAACATTCTTTTAAAATTTGCATGCTCTATATATTCGTAAATATACTGGATTACAATTCACGGTAACAATTCACTCATTAAAGAATATCCAAAATGCAATGAATAAATTATTTAGAGTTTATTTCAGAACATGTGAACTATATTGTTAAGTTTTCGGATATCTTTAGATATCGTCCTTTCCAAGGGTACTCGACCTTGTTCGATTTCTGCAATAAAAATTTTTCGAAAATTTTTCTGAACCAAAAATTGAAAAATCTGAAAAATAATTATGACTATTTTGCCCTCGGACAATTTTTTATATTTTTCGATTTCTGCAATAAAAATTTTAGGAAAATTTTTATTTTCCGCTTCGCGCGCGCCTGTTATGTATGCACTAGTAAGTCTAAAGACGGGGAAGCTAACCCATTGCACCCAGTGAGAAATGATCGTCATTTCGATACAGCTGGTGAATTGAAGGTCATTTTTCACTAGATTCCCAGACAGCATAGATAATGAACAAAGGACTCCGTTATATGTCACTAATTCTGAGTTCATTTTCAGATTCAAAAAGAATTCTTTTTCTAAAGCGGACTGAATATATATACGCATAGCAATATATATTAAAAACGGAGACGGACAAATACATAACATAAGCGCAAAATGTAGGAATGACATAAAAGACAATTACACTGAATGCGAAAATTAAAAGACGTTGCAATATAAAAATGACACAGCTAAAAATAATGTATATACATACGCATAACAATATACTATATTTAAAATGGAGACGAACAAAAGTATTGCAACGATTAATAAAAATAAGCAAAAAAAAATATTCTTACATATTTTATTGTATGTATGTACATATAAACACGTTCGTTTTTCGTGTTTCACCTCGAACTCGCGTTTTTATTGAATTTTGAATTCTTAAATTAAAAGTATATTGTTCGTAAAAAAATTCTAAGTTTATTATTAAGTAATATATATAATATAGTAAATTAAAAAAAGTGCCAGTATAAAATTGCATTTGAAAAGATTTATACTTTTAGGCTTCCATCAAGAAATATCTAAGATAACTTTATCATAATTATATACTATTATAAATGCAATTACATACACACATAGCACGAAATAGAACCAAACAATATACATGACACAAAACACAGTCAAAGACTGTGTTAGTCGCCGGAAATATTCGTAATCTGAGAGAGGACATGATTTACGAATGTGCAATTTTTTTAGTTCTCGAAAGGTGGATGTAGCACGGACATGCACCATAAATTGTATATCCGCGGTGCAGAAAAGTGGATTGCTATGTAGTTTACATTCATTTTTTCAGGGGGCGTTAGTGCGGGCACGAGGGTATTTTGAGGTTACATGCAAAAGATCGTCATATCATATCATATCCTCTCTCAGGTAAAGTCAGGTTTCTCTCTAGTCTGCCATCACCCCTGTGATGAAATTGATGAATTGAAAATTGACGATCACGTTGTCGTTTATGCCGGTTGTATTCTCGTACTGCGTTGTACTTCAATCAACGTTCCGACTTTCGTAATGATAAGCATGGAAGAAGTCATGATGAAGCGTTCACAATTTCGACTGAAAGTCGACCTGTCTAATTTCTTCCATGATGCACGTCGATCTTGTTGGATTTTCGTCGACGGAACGAAAATCCAACAGGTTAGACATATGAAGCAACACATTAGTAAGCTGTTCAACATCGCCGAACCGTTCCATTTGTTGCTGAATGACACCGAATATCTGCCGCCAATAGAGGATGTGCGTATACTCAAGGAAAACGAGACGATTCTGTTAGTATTGTATTTTATCGACTTTTTCTGCAAGCTGAAACTTTAATTTTCGCCGCTTTTAGTATACCTTTTTAATATCACATTTTTTGTTTTGTTCAGTTAATTTTATCGTATCAACGATTTAATTCATTTTATATTCTCACAATTTTCATTTTCTTATATCAAAACATATATATGGAATAAGAATTGTGATCAAAATTGGGATTGACCAACTATAAGTTGATTATTCTTGTACAGAGTCACACAATGTCATTCCGATTAGTTTATTATAGAGTGATCAATTACAGAATTTGATGATGTATAAATTGATTATTTGTAGTTAATCTGATAAATTACAGAGTAATTCCTGGATCGGGCATAAATAACGAAGTGCCTGCTATTGTAGAAACAAGCAATGGTTCTGTAGATGATAGACAGATTCAGTCAATAAATATTAAGACGGGAAAGCAGGAAACAGTTTCACAGGATATATCTAACGATACTTTGAATAATACACAACCAGCTTCAATAAGTTAGTTTATTTTACTTGTGTAAAAGTAAATGAAACAAAATGAGATTTTTGTACATGATTACCGATAAATCATTTTTATTTCAGATAATACTACAAGAGATATGACATTCTACAGTGTCATTAGTGATACGGCGGCTGATCACAGTGAAGGAGATACAGATTCTAAAACTACAGATAACAATTTAACAGAGGATTGTAACATGATAGATTCTATTGTATCCATTGCGAAGAGGAAGAGAGTGCGAAAACGAAAGCCGAGAAATCGATCTCGGCTCATCGTATCACCTCCTGATATAATTGAAGAAAACGGTCTAAAAGAACCAAAATTAAAAAAGCCAAAGATAATAGATTCTTATATTGTTCCGTGTGGAAAGCATATACGATTTTGTAATATGGAGGATGAAAATAATATTGCAAAACAAATAGTACAGGAAATATCTAGAAATGAGTCTTGTTTAAGTAAAGCATCGTCTTCCAGAGATCTTTCAACACTTTTAGCATTAGGACAAAGCTCAACGCCAATAACATTTGTAAACAAAAGATTGAGAAACGAAGTTAAGACGGAAAATGCATTAAATAATGAGATAGGAGGTAAAAATTTAAATAAAAATATGGAGGATAGCACAGAAAAAAATGTATCTAGCGAAAAGTCTAAGAAGGAAGTACAAAGTTATAAAAATATGCAAGCTGATCTAGAAAAGTTCCCAATTATGACTAGAAAACCAAAAGCTCATGATATTATTGCCTTCAAAGTATGTATCGCATACATTGTACTTAAAAATTAACTTACATATTTTTCTAAACAGTATTAAATTTCAGACCCTTAAGATCGGTGGAGATTACACGCCTCAGGTGTCTAATTCTATTTTTACCGAAGTAGTAAGCTCTTGCACACAGTCGGGAAATTATACTCTTCGAATACTCCGTAGGTAGCATTGTGTACATTTTCAACAGTATATACATTTGAAAGTAACTGTATTATTACAGATTATTATTTTCAGATGGTAGAGAGGAAATTCAAGTGCCAATCGGAAAGTTTTCTCTCTCAGAAGATGAGTCCGAAAGTCACCCTGATGGAGATACATTTGTACTAAATCATTCACAGATGATAGAACCACGCTTAATTTCAGTTTTATAAGTATTTGTTTCTATATTTGAACTTCATTCAGTTTAAAAACGCAGTTGCATGTTTATTTTATATTTAATTCGTTAATTTACATATATTTCTATCTGAACTGTGTATGTGTTAAGATTGATTATATTGCTTTCATCCGTTGCATTTTTAAAAACGTTTAATAGTTTAACATTTGATAATGCAGTCTAATTTTACATTCTGAATCAATTTAATTTTGAGTTTGTGATAAAGCATATTCGGTTTAGTTATTAGTTAAGCTATGCGCTAGTTTTATGAATGGATTTAATAATATTTATGTTTAGGTATAAAACAGCAATAAATTTTTTTTTATTTTTATAGTCTCACATATTATGTATCTCAGGGAGAAGAAAGATAGAAATATTAAATATTATCGTATATATTTATCACATACGAGATAGTTTTTCATGTAAAAACTTTGGTACATTTAAATGTAATTTACAAGAGAGCTAGCTCTTAATTGAATTGCCATCAAACTGCTGTGAGATTTTGTATTTAATCTAATGATTGCAAAATGATCACTATAAGTTATTTTTTGTTGTCACCGACGAAGTATAGGTAGTCGAGAATGGGCATATTTTTGTGAATAATTGTTAGATAGGCCCGGGGATAATTGAAGATCAGAGACATTACCTACCAGTTTTGGCTCTACCGGGGATAACAATTTCTGTACGGAGATCGCATTCGTTATCTTCGGTACAACGAAAACGGTCGGTAATATCATTGTGAACTCCTTGGAAGAAGTTTTGTCCGTTGTATCTAATATTTTTTTACCATTAAATTTTACCACATGCTTAGCCAATGCATAAACAATGCTTTTCCATTAAAACATGACTTCATAAAATTGATGGTCACGTTTTTCCAGGAGCTTTTCACATAATGACTCTAAATTAATAAGATGATGTAATTTTAAACGTCAATAAGATTAATGTGCAGTTACATACGAAACTACCTGTGTACTTACAAAATATTGTCATGTTTTTTTTTAATTACAACAGCATAAAACTGAATTGACATAATTGTTCTATTTTCCTTTTCTGCTTGTTACAAATTTAGAAATAAATGCACCCAACTTTCGCACGTGAACAATTCTATCCTTTGTAACTACATTATGTTATATTTTCTGCACTCGAAATGTTGAGACTGTATAATTAGATTTTTTAGAAAATAAGAAAAATGGTATACATCCAAAAAATTTAATTTCAATGAATAAACATGTAATTATATCTTATGGCGCGTTTAATGATTTGGAGTGCAATTTTTAGCAAGAAAATTCTCATTTCGATATTTACGCCACTTATTTATAATAATACACAAAATAGCGATTTGGCAGTCGAATAATGAGAAATCGCGGTTATCTACCGTTATCTGCGCAATCGCGGATATCCGCGGATATGTGCATGCGCGACGATTCAGTTGCTAGTTTCGCACCTCACTTCGTCACTTCTGTCACTTTTCAACGACGAGTTGCAGTGAACGTTTCGTTTTCGTTTTTCCGTTTCGTTTTTTTCGTTTCTGATCCACGTTTCGTGGATCAGTTGTTTCGATTAATCGTAATTGACAAAGTGCTTTCCTTGATGCGCGTCTTACGGAATTCGGAGAGACGAAATTTTAACGTCGAAAGTTAACCTCGGTGGACCTGTCGGTTTCGCGGTTCCGGTGAGTAGACAACAATAATAACTTTTATATTGATGACGATGTAATAACGATAATGATGATAATTTTATTGAATAAACTACTAACTAGTGCGATATAACTAGAAAGAAAATAGAACAACAAGAATCTCACATAATGGATGCGAGTGTAAACAAAAAACGAAGATGTAATTTTGAAAATGGATTCAATATTGTTTTCATCATATATTTATTTGTAGAACAATGTGAAATGTTTTTCGAACCAAGAAGGAAAAAGCCATAAATTTTATTAATAGTAAAAATTTAATTTTATTATATTAAATATAAAATTGTCTAGAAAATTATGAGATTAATTCGTTTAATTATAATAAAATTACGAAAATTAATAAATTTTATTATTGATTGTAATTAAAGCGGAACGAGATTTTGTTAATAATTTATAACGTTTCTCATGCCAAGGGAAGCAAGAGAACAATTGAGAGAAAACAAACGGAAACGAAATACTTGCGACAATAGCGCGATAATACCTAAGCTGGGTTAATCTGCTAGAATTCTCCGCATAAGGTGGTGTACGGTCATGCGGAAGTTACGATACACGCGGGTGACACGTACTTTGCAGAGCGCGTTATGAATTATCGTGTCTTATCCTCGTTACAATATGCCATCATGACCGTTTGCGCCGCGCGCCAGAGCGAGCAACATCTTGTTTTGGTCGCCACTCAGTCATGAATAATTCAGAAATTAAAGGGTGAGAAATAAATGTACACACCCTCGACACGATCGCAGGCCGGAGAGCCCGGAGATCGCTAGCGGAACGTGTTAGCTCGCAGAATTAGGTCCGCGCGCTCCCGAAGAGTGAATTATTCATAGTTAAACAATCAACGGGATACGCTGCATTAAATGTATGATGTGCGCGCGCGACACGAATTCTCGGTTTTTCTCGTCTCCCGAAGGCAAATATATTTCTGTACCCGCCTATCTGCGTTCGTGCGGCGAGATGGCGACGCTTGCTGAGACTAAACGATAAAACTCGAATAAATATTTGAACGTGATTCCATCTCGGTCGAGATCGTTTCAGTGTTTATAGAGCGTTGAAAAATCGACGTTTGAAATTATCGACGATTAGTTAGATCACATTCAGACTGAAAACGGATTTAAAGTACTTTTCGGGCGAATTGTTTTGCACGTTGTCGGCGCTGACTGTCGCACACCGCAAATTGACGGACGCTGTGGTCATTATGCATGTTGCAATTAATGGTATTCATCTCTTCGATCGAACCTCAATTAGAGCCTCTTCATATATTAATTATTTGCATGAGCTCCTGAAAATACGCTAGAAATCCTTTTACAAGGATTTATTTTCGAATTTTACATGCAAACAAATATATGTTTTAGTAATATCAGCTAATTCGAACTTTTCTGTCATTGCTAAAAGATATTAAAGATTATTAAATGCATTTGCTGTGAGATATAACTTTTAGCTTAATTTAAAAACGTACTCTTAACACGAAAATGGCTGAGAAAGAAACAGCTATTCTTTGTTATCTTACATGCATGGAAACATTCGATTTGCAATTATTTCTAGGACGCTGCCACGTATGTTACATTGATGCACCACTGCGTGCATGCGCGTGATTTTCCATGCAGAAGTAATGTACGGTTTTCTAGAAAATATAATATTTTTATTATGGATTATGTCATCAAATATAAAAGATGGATGAAGTATCTCAACTATTATAAATAGGTAGACACGGGAACTGTCATAGATTGGATTCAGGGAGATGCTCTAAGGGAGTATTAAACAAGCATGCTTTATAGTATAATTTTCTAACGGTGAATTATTGGCAGCCTAGAAATGTACTGAGAGCATTAAAAATATAGAAAATACCTTACATAAACTAAAGGTTTTCAATACTATCAACACATTTTGAAATGTAGTTTTGGTAGCTAGTACAGCAGCTAAACATATATAATCTCAGCAAGATTTTTGGTCTATATAAATATTATTACTTTCTTCTGCGAAGAGAAAATAGCACAATGGAGTTCCAGTTGTCGTTTAATTTCTGACAGCATATACTTTCTGCTGTACTATATACTTAAATTTTAACAATTAATAAATTTTGGTAACATTAGCTATCGACATTAGTTGTCTCTATTTTATTAAATACATCCACGACTATATTTTAGCTTCGTTGGCTAATCCTTCCTCTATCTGTATGTAAAATCATTTTTTTTGTAAAGCAAATATAACGACTTTGTAGAACAAATTTGATTTGTTGAAAATATGATAGTAATAACACTAAATTAACGCACCGCAGAATCACCGTGAACAATACCTTGATAATGTATATGACTAGAGATAGAAAATCCAAAATGTCGAGGTCACAATAATTTTTACGTTATGGGCAATCAAATTTAATCAATATCGCATCGGTATCGCGTAAAGTTCGCGCACTGAAGCTCGTGATTGTGTTTATACGCGTTCCGATCTCTCTGTCGTCCGTTATTGAATTTCAGCTCAAGCGATATTGATTTTTACTGTCCAGCTGATTTTGCTTTAAGCTTTTCGTGTACAAGTACTGTGGCATCAGTCAATCTTGACAAGTTGTTTACAAATTATTAATGGAAAATAGTAGATATTAAATATGCAGACTATTTTAGTCTGATATATATAATAAATTTCATAAGAAGATTTCCTTCCATATGCTTTAAAATAGATTCAACATCAGCGTTGCATGATTATTTTTTTCATCTCTAAATTTATCGGATTTTAATGGGATTGTTGCTAATTTTTTCTTACTACAAATAGAAATTATTAATTCAATAAGAAGTGGTAAAAGAATTATGGATTAAAAAAATTAAGTCCTTAACGAGCTACGGCAGAAACTGATTAAAGTAACTTGGGAGAATCCCTTGGGGTAATTATTCATTTTGTGAAGAACTTTCCACTTTGACTTTACTAGAGAATTTTACGAGCTTTTTCATTTTTATAATAAGAAGCCTGCTTTAGATCTACAATATTCAAGTAATCTACGGCCTTTCGTAGAATCACACGCGAAGTTTACTCTGAAATTCACGCGAGATTATTCCTCTTTCGTCGGTTTCGTTATTGCTGTAACCTTTTATTGATTAACTTTACGTAAATATTAATTAAATTTGCGCGGATAAAATTATTGTACTTTGAAATTCAAAATTGCAAATATCTCAAATGGTAAAAAAATAATTATTAAATTACTATTAATTAAATAATTAATTAAAATTAAAATTAAAATTTTCTTTTATATGTTCTTTTTTGTTTTTAAAGAATTACGTTTTAGAAGAAAATACATTTATGCTTGCTATAAAAAAACAGGATGAGTGACATTTATAATATTATAGATAATATGCATAGCAGACAATGCATGATATTCATCTTTGATTGCGGACAGGCAGATAAGCCTTCCTTCGATAAGTATATCTTCGTATATTTCTGAGGATTTTTTAATGAGATTTTTCTTGTTTTCTTTTTAGCTTTAATGTCACAAATGATCGTTTTGAGCCAAAAGATTAGCTTGTTTACGTAGTAACAAATGCATTGTGGCTTCTATTTCATAGTTTCTACCATAATAACTTACAAAATGTTATTCTACATATTCATTTATTATACGTACAAGTGATATATATATATATATATATATAAACTTGCAAATTTCAAACCCTTTTAATATAATTGAATCCACAGTTTTGCTATGCTAAAACTAGGTACGCTGTAACCGTGCGCACATTGTTCATATAATCACAGTCAGCTATACCTTTAGTTTCATAACGACAATTTGGAGAAAGAGAACGGGAGTCAAACATCGAAAATTATGGAGAACTTGGAACCGGAATCTCCTTATTTGTTGTTTACAGCAGTTACTCTTGCTTGTCGAATAGTAGTCTTATTGCATAAGTATTCACACGAAGATATATTGCTTGCTCGAAAGTTTAAGCACCTACCCAAGTCACATAAATCTGACTGGGATAGTTTTTGTTTTAAAAACAAGGGTAGGACAAAATTCTCTTGTGAGAATTCCATTCCAATTTTGAGACGCTGTCTCAGAAAAATGCCGACAATACGGACGACCGAACGACACAGAATGAGCCACTCGCAATAGCGAGTATTGATTTAAAAGCTATTGACACAATATCCGAATACACCGTTCTTGGATATACTATCTGTAACGTCCGACCGAACTTTTCAACTTTTCTACGTTCAATGTTATATACAATCCAATTTCCACCGTCAGAAGTTGCGAATATTTCGACGTAAATAGACTTGAAGTTTAACTTTTTAATATACAACTTTTTTCTCTTGGAAACTATAGTTAACATAGTCAGCATCGCGCAGTTAATCGATGAAAGTTTACAAAGAATTAACATGCGTACATATACGCTTTTAACATTACGCTTTGAGTCTTCTGCATCCATATAAGTTTTAATAGGGTTAAAAAGTGTATTCCAGGTTGTTCTTAATAAAGCAATGAAGAACAAAAACAAGAAAACAATAGAAAATCCGTGTTAAATAAATCCGGTAAGACCGTGTAACAAAATAATTAAAATGACAATTGGCCGGCTTAGAAGCAGTGTTTAACAATAATTTACAAAAATATTAAAAATTATTTAAAAATTTTATATTTATAATTAGTCTCACTTACAATCATCAAAGCAATATAAAATTCCCGAAAAGCTTTTCTTCCGCGGATCAGTAAATAATTTGTTACCTTTTACCTATCCTGCTCTTACGGCAAATCTGATTTCGTCAGCTGCAGTCCTCTAGCAGATTGACAGAATAAACCGCTGTCCTGCTAGTATTGCCAGACCATCGAATTTCAAATATAAAAAGAACCGAGGACAATAAATCATTGATCACACGTCGAATCCGTCTTGCCGTGACATCGGGGATCTCTTCGGGATCTGTTGTACGTATATAGGACCCGACAGTCAAGCGAACAGACGGGGCGTCTACCCCGCGTCCGGCGCGAGCAAATAATTCACACCCTTTCG